CCAGATCTAGAGTTTGTGAGATTTTTGTTGGGGTCCCCCATTACCTCAACTCTCTGGGGCTTGCTGCCTCCAGAGCTTCCAGAAATGGGCTTAATGAATTCCTCTGTCCTATACGGCCCTACAGACACGTGGGAAGTCAGGAAGCTATCAGGACTTCTTGGAGATTGCTCTTCTTAAATTATGCATTCCCAAGTCCTAGACCTCTTTCCTTACATGATGATGTTTTTAAAACAACATTGTCCATTGGTCACCAATTTTATGAATGTCTTAATTTGTGGGAAATAGAGATGCCAAAGCCTTTGTGTGTTTTAGGGAAAACATTTTGTGCCGATAGCAACAAGAACATATAGGGGACTGACAGGTCTTTGCCCTGGCTCTCTGCTTTCCTTTCTTATCCAAGAATTGCTTAGTTTCTTGATTTGGCGTAGCTAGAAGGTGCCCGTAGAGATACTTCACAGAGTAAGCAGTTCATTTACGAAATATCGCTTTCACTTTTAATTGGAAAAACTTTCTCTCTCCATTTGCAGATTGATGCCCTTTATAGCTTAAAAAAAAACACCCCACAAAAACAAAAAACAAACAAACAAAAACAAATCAAAAAGCCTCCTGTAAATATCCTCTAATTAGGAAAGCATGCATCTTATGGAGTTGAATCAAATTCCTAATCAGGAATAAATGTGAATGTGTTATTCCAGCGTAAACAGCTCTAAACCGAAAACCTGCATGATCGTGATGACGGGTTCCTTGGTGAAATGCAACGAGTCGGACCAGGGCCGTGGCAGACACCCGACTTGCCTGTGAAGCTGGGTCTAGCCATAGCGCTGGTCTTGTTTCTTGTTGGGTGTGACACAGGCTCTGGCTCCTTGGAGTAACTTTCCACTTCCACCACAGGTAGAGCAAGTCAGCCAGTTGGCCGTGTTTATAGAAGCAGCGTTAGACTATCACAGACAGTCCACAGAGATTCTGCAGGAGCTGCAGAACAAGCTACAGATACGGTAAGGGCCTTCTCGAGCGCTCCCAGCCTGGGCTGCAGACTTCCGTCAGTGCAGTCCGTCAGATACGGTAAGGGTCTTCTCGAGCGCTCCCAGCCTGGGCTGCAGACTTCCATCAGTGCAGTCCGTCTCTATGGTGCTCCAGCAACCCCTACCCTCCTCCCCATTCTGTTTTGGGTTTTCTCCTGCTGGCTTTCATGGTAGGGTGTGACTGGGACTGAGATGATCATCCCTGGCTTTGGTCAATAGGATAGAACTGGGAAAAGGGATCTGGCTGCTTCTCTCCTTTTTTCTTTTCATAAACAAAGCTGCTTTCCTGCATTTGGAAATCAGCCCCTCCAGAGCTGTCCCGGCTTCACTGCTGACTTCACGAGAGTTTAGCTCCTCGGTTACAAACGGAGGGTGGTGATGCCATATACCCCCTCCGCAACCTTTGGGGGTGTGGAGAAGAGCTAGATGATGCTCAGAAGTTACAAACGGAGGGTGGTGATGCCGTCTACCCCCTCCGCAACCTCTAGGGGTGTGGAGAAGAGCTAGATGATGCTCAGAAAATCTGTTGAAACATACGTGCTTTTACGTCATCAGCACACACGGCAGCTTGTGTTCCTAACATTGACTGTTAGCGGTATAGAAAGAGCCAGGCACCTTCTGAGCAGTCAACGAGAGGATGCTACGTCCTTGCGGCTTCACTGAAGTAACATCATATACAGTACACACAACAGCCCTATTAAGGAAATACTGAGTTAAAATAGAACTACCCTCTTTTTTGACCAGGTCTGATACCAGGAAATTGTTATGCGGGTCTGGGTCATGAATGAATTTGGAGGAATTTTTGCTTAAATCAAGGTCATAAGTACAGAGGGAAGACAGAAGGTGTGCCCATTCTCCGAAGCGTCCGTTTCTGGGGGCTGATAGGTCATCTAGTGTGTGTCCGAGCATATTCTCAAGCCACCGGGGCCAGGACTCGAAATGCTTGGTGGAGCGTATGGGATCTGGCTCCTTTAATCAGCAGGCCACAAGGCCAGCCCCTATTTTCATAATTCTATCTCTGGAGGAGGGGAGACATGGTGAAGACAACCAACCAACATTGCTGAGTGCCCACTGCCTCCTGGGCGCTGGCTGGATGCCTCAGGGACTTTATGAGGACAGAGAGACTTCTTTACGATGAATTCCACTTGGAAGGGCACATAGGTAGTTGAAAACTACATTTGAGACACGAGCTCTGTCACTGTGGACTACCCAGGAATCAGTGGGTGAGAACCATCGCCGCACGCTCACCAACTCCGACCCCAGTGTGCGTGCTCATCAGGCAGAGTGAATGTGTTTGGAGGCTTTAGCGTCCCTCTTCTGACTCATCTCACCTTGTGTGTTACAGAATATCAGCTGCTTCTAACCTCCCTAGGCGCGAGTACAAGCCCAGGCCCATTAAAAGGAGTTCTAGTGAGCTCAATGGGGTTTCCACCACCTCTGCAGCAAAAACGACAGGTGAGTTACAGTGTTAAGGGTGTTACGTATGCTCTTCTGGAAGGCATTTGCAGAAACACTATCTCTGGCTTGTTGCCGGGTCTGTGTGTGACACAGAGACCTTCAACTTCTTTCTTTGGTTGGTTGGTTGGTGATGCTCCTTTTATCTCTCCCCCCCCCTAATACAGCAATGTATGAGGAATCCGGTTCCTCCACCTCTCTGCCAGGATTTGGTGTTGACACTATTTTGTACTTCCAGCCACTTCGAACAGCATTTAGTGATATTTCACTCTGGTTTTAATTTGCATGTCCTTAGTGATTGCTGATACTAATTATCTTTCCATGTTATTTGCCATCTGTATATCCTCTCTGGCGAAATTGTAGCTTCCTATCTTTCGTCTATTTTCTAATTATTTTGCTTTTGAGTTTGGGGAATTCTTTATGTAATACATAAATACAAGTTCTTCAATTTGTGTGTGGTCTGGAAATGTACTTTCTCACTCTGTTGCTTTTTATTTATTTATTTTTTTAATTCTTCAAGTAGGCTCTTTCACAGATCAAAGTTTTTTTAATTTTTAATTTTTTTTATGGAGAGGTTTTTGCTATAGGGTGCATGTGCTCACCAGACAGAGAGAGACAGAGAGACAGAAAGCGAGAAATCACCCCCCGGGGGGATGGCCACGCCACAGTCCCTTCTCCTCCATTCTCCTCTCGGGATCTC